TGTTACTGAATGAAGTTTATATCAGGATAGAAGGGGGATGGCTGTGCACTGTACACCAAAGGGTGAGCTTTTTTTAGTGTAGTTTTTGTTTATTTAGTTGGTTAGTTTCTTTCCTCTTCTACGAAATTGGCAGAAATATGAACCTGTGAACTATATTTTCCAAGTTGCCTTTACAGTCAAGATTAAAATGGCATAGAATGAAAGGAGGAAGAAGAAAGTCATTTCATTTCTGTTGTCTGTGGTACACCAAGAAACACCATCAGCAGCCATAGGAGTGTAACCTAGATCCCTGACCAGCTGCAGTACTGCATGCCCAGTTGTAGAAAAGACAGCAACAACAGCAGCATCACAGGTTCCTGCAATCCTGTTCAAATGCAAGGATGCACTCTCAGCATCTTCATCAGACAGCTGCCAAGAGCAGCTAGGCTTCAGTCCAGATTCAATAGGAGCTTCTGGTTTTGAGACCCAGCCTTTTCTCTTTTGTTCTCACTTTCTGAGCTTATTGTCTGCACTAAATCCCTTTGACTTGAAGTATCAAGAATGCTGTATAATTTCTGTGGTTGACACCAACAGATACAGATATGAATGCCAGTTTTACAAAATACATAAGAAAACAATTTTCCAAAGCTGGGACCTCTTTGTGGTAAATATTACCTATCTGAAGCTTGAATTGTTTGTGAAACTGGCAGAGTGAAGGAGAAAATATGTGATCTTAGGCAACTTAAATTATTTTCAGGAAAAGCCTTCCTAAAAATAGAATAAAAACATAAGGTTGATGAAATAAAAGAAGCAATCACATAAACTGGAAAACATGATTACAATAATTTGTTTCTGTGAAATATTGAATGATTTCAGGAAACACAAAATCAAAAGGACAGGTGAAGTAATCTGACTACTATAAATGTTTAGAAGTTTCTATACCTCATTCATTACTCTCCCTTCTTCTTTTGCTATTTCTACCTCTGTCTCTACCACTCTACATTATTTTTCAACATTTTAAAAGTTAGCATGAAACTACATCTTCATATCATGTGCTTTGTTCATAGTAATCCTCTAGAACTGGCTCTTGTTTATTTTTTGAAATTGTATCCTTTCTTCTGACAGATAGTACCCCCTTGATTTCATCACACACACACACACACACACAAGAAAGAGAGAGAGACAGACAGACAGACAGACAGAGAGAGAGAGAGACAGAGAGAGAGAGAGAGGAGAGAGAGAGAGAGAGAGAGAGAGAGAGAAGCAAACATGTCATATGTTTCAAACCCTTCAGAAATGAAATGCAAATGTCACTTCACTAACTGGGATACATTTTTGACAGATTATACCAGGATACATTTTTGACAGATCTGGGAACTTCTGAAGAACATGACTAAAGAAAAGCTTGTTCATGAGGGTCCCAACTGAAGAGGAAGTTCTTGTGGTGATAGACGCCAAAATAGGCAAAAGCTACTGTTTCCTCTGTTGAATTAGAATCCTTTTAAGTAAAGATAGCAAGGATGAAAACTAAAGGAGGTGGTGGGTCTGTGAGACAGTACAGGGAGGGATATGCAAAAGCTAGCAGAGGAGGAAAACGCAGACTACACCTTCCCACCATGCAGAAATTTCCCATGCCTACATACAGCTAACGGGGTGTCTTGAAAGTCTTATGGTATATGTGATATATATGACACAGATTCTACACATGACAGCAAACCTGCTAACTTAATCTTTCTGAGTCTGACCCGCATATTAGCCCCTCCAGTCTCCTCTAGGATAACTGTGATAACTGCAGTCACAGCAACAAGTATTGAGTACCTTTGGCTGAGACTACTTACTCATTACAAAAGGAAGAACTTTGAGTTGGACGAAAGGACCACTACCAAGAGTGGAGTTGGGGGAAGGAGTAGTGTGGACACAGCAGTCAAAGGAGGAAGATGTGAGGGATCTGGGACTGGTGCTTTTTGGGGCCTTCTACTTCCAGAATAAGATGTCAATGTCAACAGAGCTTCTGAAAAGTCAGTTTAAAACCCTAGGCATGAGGAAGACCAGCTAAGCATCAGGGCAGATTATCATCAAAGGAAAGAAGAACATTGTTCTTTTGTGATTGATGAACCACTTCTCATATATCCACCATTCTCTCTAGTCTTCCCACATTTGACTATGGTTCTATTGTAAGAGAATCAACTTTGTCTCTAAAAACTAACACAGCTATTCTGCCTCTCCTAGAAGGAAGATATAGTTATCAATATATGGTTTTAGAAACTATGAAGATTTTCCTCTCAAGCATCAAATGTCAGACATCTTATAAAATAATCTATTTTTGAGTAGGTGGGTTAATGGAATAAATTATTTATATAGAATAAGGGCATCCACAATTGTTTTGTAGCTTTGTTCATTGTCATTATAGATAACATCCAGCCAACATAAAAATACTCTACCGATTAATCAATAAAAACTAATAAAAATACTAAGACAGAATTATACTTGCATGAATTCTTCTTACAGGTCACATCTAAGTAAATATGGTCTTAATACTTCAGATTACACTGGTGAAAAAGGAAGTATGAAATTATTTAATCTCATAATTTCTTTTATCTTCTATATCTCACTCACATGCTAAACTATAATTTGTAGTGATGTTAGAATTGCCTTCAACAGTTGATATGACAAGATGTTGTCACTGGTATAAAAGTGTCACAAATGTTATAACGGTAACCAACTGCTTTCTGGTTGGGTCTAAGGGCCACTTCATGAGATGGAACCATAACTGATACTACTGTTGGAATTAAAATGGTCATAGGCCCTAGGGGAGAATCTAATATTATGGACATAGTATCAAAACAATCCTTGGAGACTTATTGTTATATCCACAAATAAGTACATTTCTCAGTCCTCATCAGGGAAGCTTCTCCTTGCAGTCTATGGCAATTAGCAGAGACCCCCCCAACTGGCCAATATGCTGAGAATAGGAGACTGCAGAGCATTCATTTCTAAATGGTGTGTGCTCATCTTACACCTCCCTGAAATGGCCCAGCAATCTTAGTGGAGGAAGAAGTGGATAGATTGCAAAAACCAGGGATGATGGGTAACTTCAAGGAAATAGTGTTTACCAGACACAACATGACAACTGAATATATGAATTCACAGTTATTGTGATAGCATGGATGAGAGCTGTACAAGCTCAAGTCAGGAAAATAACAACAAAAACCTCCCAGCATGGAGGGAGTAGGCAAAAATGTAATGTATTTTCAGTGATATTGTTGAGAGATTTGTACCAAGAATGTTAAATTCCAATAGAGAAAGAGGAATAAGTGCTCCCTTTGAACAATCACTAAGGCAGGAGAGTGGGGAGCTGGGATGGAGTGAGGTTTTCTTAGCATCCAATTAGCACTTGATTTCTGGAGAGACTAGGAATCAGTGTCAGATGACAAACAGGACTAAGGGATAATTTTCACTATGGCAAAAATGCATTTATCAGTGAGGACATTTCTGAGTAGTAGTTAGTCACTTTTCATCTCCGTGACAAAAATACACGAAAAAGACAATTCAAAGAAGGAAAGGTATACTTGAACTCATGTTTTCAGAGTTTGAGTCCATGGTTGGCTGCCTCTATTGCAGAGGCGAGGCAGGAAATCAAGAAGCAGTGATTTGTGACACAGAGGCTGTTCATCTCATAGTGATCAGCAAGCAGACAGACAAAGAAGGGAAGAGATTGGAAGAAAATTATACTCTTCAGAAGTATCCTTCCAGAAACCTACCTCCTCCCATCAAGCCCCACATCCTACAGCACATACCATCTCCCAATAGTTCATGCAATTATGAACTCTTACTTGGATTTTCCCATTGATTATCCAAGTAACCTAATGATTCAATCACTTTTCAAATGCCCAACTTCTGACTGTTGTATTTGGAATCAAAACTTCAACACATGAGTTGAGAGGGATATTTCATATCTAAAGTATGACAGGCAATTTTGAACTGGCCTACAAGGAGTGAACTGACTTCGCAAAACAAAAAGCTAGTGTAACCCTGGAAATCCTTTATTGTCACAGTGGAGCTTCTCTTGGAACCCAGAGTTCTCAGGGGAAACCTTGGTGTTCTGTGTGATGCCTCAAAAGACCTAGACAGCAACCAATCAAATTTCCTTGTAACTTCCTACTCATCATTTCAAATGAAGGAACGTTCATGGATCACTTGTTTTTTCTTCCCATAACAGAGGACAGAGCCTTAAGCACCATATAGAGGTATCTGTTATTCCCAACTTTTTATTTCTACCTTTTGGAAGCCATCAAACTCTTAGATGTTTGTATTCTTTATGAAAAAATGAGATATATAGAATCCCTATTATGCCTTCACAGAGCAGAAGTCAATTAGGCATATTTTCATATAACTACCTTTAGGTGGGCAAAGTTCAATAGGATCAATTGTTCACTCTGAAGTGGGAAAGATCACTTTACACTGAGAAACCAAAAAGAGAGGTGTAAGGGTACTAGGACAAGACTAGCTGAAATACATACATAAGAAATAAGTCATAGGATAAGACAAATTAAGTACTATGATTCTTTGGGCTTAGATCACATGCTAGGTTCCAGGTTAATCTAGGTACTCACTTTTCTGAGTTTCTAAACCCCATCTTTACCTATTTTTCTTCTTTTCTCTCTTTCTTTGGGTGTAAATATCTCTTGTTCGAGTAGAGAAAGAGGGAAGTTATAAATATTTACATCTCTCTCTCCCAATCAACTAAATTTTAGTAGCTATGTCCCCTTGCTGCACATTTTTATCAACACTTTAAGAAAACTGTACTGGTCCAGTTGTCAGATACATCCGTAAGAATTGGTCAGGGAGGACCCCGAGCACGCAAACAATACCAGCTTTAACCAGTTTTCTTCTTTGACTAACAGAACTAGATGAGATGAAGACTGCATTCATGCTACTGTTATTTAACCAAGCTGACATGCTACAATTGCCTTCTAAATATCAATGCTTACATACATGAGCAGTATCTACTCTCATAAAAAGCTTTCTCTGAAGTAAATGGTAGTATGAGATAAAGAAAAAGTAGGCTGGTCCTGAGCCAGAAAGTTCTACCCTGGTGACTAGATTTCAAAGTGGCAGAAGGTAAAATTCTGGCTCCTGCAGAAGGAAAGACATCAATGTTTTACCTAGCTGTGACTCCTATGATAGAACCAATCTTCCAGGTAAGATATATCCACCTTATAAAATGATTTCATGACTGTTATGGAGGTAAGCAACTGTTCCAATTGGATTTGAGTCTTGCTACCTAGGAGGGAGCCCATTCCTAGTATTGCAAGCTCAATTAACAGCCCATACCTAGAAAGGTCCTAGGTCCAAGGAAACAACTTACTACTGTTGTTTTAACTAAGTAATATGGCATAAGATTTTACTATAAGTACGTATGCTTATATTCATAGATGAAAGATATTCTTGGTTTCAATCAGAGAGGCTTCTTTTTGTAGTATTTCGTGGTGAATATAGACTCAAGGTTCTTCAAGAAGCTGAGAATGACTGCTGATTGAGGGCTTAGCTCCATACAAAGCATTAATAGCATATCCCCCAAGGTATAAGAAACTTTGTGGAAGAGAGAGCAGGATGTAAGAGCCACAAAAAAGAGTGAATGGTTATGAAACACAATCCTATAGATGTACTATAATGTCTATAATTAGAAATTGACTGACAACTGCAGTTATGTGTGATGGACCTCCAGAAAACTGACCCTGTGAACAGTTTGTGCAAGGAGGAGCTTATGGAACTTACCCGTTACTCCTGGACTACTGGCTTTCAATAGATTCTTGGAACTAGGGAATCATTATCATCAGTTGTGTATTGACTGCGGAGCCTAGCAGGCTTCAAAAGACAGCTCCAAACTGATGGCCACACAGACAGCCTTGGTTAGGTTTGGTCATCACAAAACAAAGTTAATAGACATGAATGTGAGAAAGAGATTTGTAGGGATGGGGAGTAAACAGAGATGAGAGAGAGTCAAATGTGAGGGTGACCAGCATCCTTTATGGATATTTGTGACAATGTAAAATAAAAATACCTACCTAATAAAAATTTGGCAGTTGAAATATGGAAAACTGGACTGGAGTCACTTCTAAGACAGTGTTGTATGTTTATTTGCCCATAATAATTAGGAAATGGCAACTGGTCAACCAGAGTTTTCATTTTATCAAACCAAAGCCTGAAGAGTTTTCCATTGCATGTAAGTACATTGCATGTATTATGTTTCTGTGTGTAGAAAATAAGAAAGACAGTTTATTAGAATGAGAGAGACTTGCTTAGGTGACCTCATTTATTTTCCTTCTAATGTTGGCTGACAAGTGAATTCAGTCTCCAAGTTTTGAAAAGGGTGACATTCAACTATAAAATAAATGCAGCATTGTTAACTTCACGTACTTAAACTAGGGGTATCTAAGAACAGTGAAGCATATAAATATTTAGTTTTTATTACTAATACTAATTACCAGGTCTATGAGATAAGTACATACACAACAGGGAGGTTCTGTTGAAATGTTATTTGAAAGGATTTGCATGAAGTTAACATTTTATTTGTTCACTGGTAATTTCATACATGAATGCGATGCCTATAGATCACATTCACTATCACCTTCTGTGTTCTCCCTCCAACTCCTCCTAGTACCCCTTACTTCCTTACTGACTTCATGTCTTCTTCCCTTTCTCTCTATGCCTACCCCTCTTGTTTGATAACTCACTGAGTGCAATTAATGATGCCCATAGGCACATAGGTATAGGGTACCACCCACTGGAGAAGAGGAAACCTACCACGGGCCACACCTCTACAGAAAACTGACTATCCTCCAAAAGGCACCATCAACTGTCAATAGTTCCTTAGTTATGAGTTGATCCTAGTGATTACCTTCCCTGTCTATGCTGGAGTGCCAACTGGCTTGATCTTGTGCAGGTCTTGTGTCAACAAGCACAGCTTCTGTCAGTTCAGGAGTGCAATGGCTTTGTCATATTCAGAAGGTCTTATTTTACATCCATTTTGTTCAACCACCCACTCAGACCATCTTCCCTCCAATGCTCCCTGAACCTAGTTGGACATGGAATGTGTCAGAGATGTCCCATTTAAGACTGAGCACGCTACAGCCACTTATTCTCTGAAATTTTACCAACTGCCAAGTCTCTGTATTAACCACTACCCATTGCATAAAGATGCTTCTCTGATGTAGGGGAGGGAGGCACTAGCCTATGGGTATAAGAACATATAAAAGGCAGTCTGATGTGATATCTCCCTATAAAAATAGTAGTAGTAGGGACTTGCACAATATTTCCTCTGTGATGCTGTGTAATTAGCATCCTGAGAAAGCCTGTCCTCAGTTTTTACTTGCTCCCACCTCGTCTGCTTGCTTAGCTTTAGTGTTAGCAGTCAATGACAATTTCCTTCTGAAATTCTTAATTGCAGAGAACTCTCTTCCCTATTTAAAGAAACATGTTTTTAATGTTCTCATACTTAGGATATTTCCCTTGCAATGTGGACTAACAGAGAATCCTATCAGTGTCGATGCAGTGAGACTTGTGAGGGGATAAGAAAAGCAGAGTGAACCTATTTTTACAATTCTCTTACATAAGAATAAGTCATACAGAACATTTGAACTATACTTTTTTAAAGAGTAATTGCATTATAAAATTAATCAACATTGACATGACAATTTCTACTGGACCATGAGTGTTAAGCTATACTATAGTCATTCAAATCTTCAGCTCAACTCACTAGTGTGAGATTCACAACCCAAGAATTACATAAGCAGGGAGAATTCTCATTTCCTATCTCTTCTGGATCTTGCTTTCAGTTTCTTGGAACTAAGTGTATTTTTCATTTGTGCTGCTGCATCAAATTACCACAGGCTGAGTTACTGCCTTATAAGCAACAGAATTTGTTTTCATGGTTCAGCAGACTTGGAAACCCAAGGTTACAGTATAAACAAATTTGATATGTAATAAGGACCCCTTATCTACTTTCAAGGTGGTGTCCTGCAGCTCTTACATGGCAGAGGATAAAAAGGCAATTAAGAAGCCATTCTTAAGCCCTTTTAGCTCCCATGAAGGTCACCAGTCCCATACACAAGAGAAGCTCTATGACGTAATCATCTTCTAGAACAATACCTACTACTATTGATTATGCCTAATATTATATGGTTAGTGCTGACTTAGTTTAAGCACATGTATTTGAGACAAACACTTGATCACTTCACTGTGTTAGTGAATTTTATTTACTCACTAACTTATTCATTTTATTCAAGAATTTATTGGATGGCTTCATCATCTTTGAGAGGTCAAAAAGTCAAAGGTCTGAAACACTGAACAGGTGACTGCCCAGTGGTGTTGAGGCCTATATCCTGCAGAGGCTTTGAGAGGCAAAGAAAGGGGACATCAACTATCATGAAGAACATCCTGTATTTTAATCAAGATAAATAGTCACATCATTTAATACCTACAAAGTATCAACATATTTAAAAGTAGTTCAGCCTCTATTCTGGGAAGGTAGTAACAGATGTCTGTGAACAAACACTGTTTTAAATGCTATAATTTTATTTGATTGTACCTTTTAGCACAACCAGGAAGGTCAGAAGAAGTTCCTAGAGAACTGGAAGCCTAATTTCGTCCACAGCGTCAAATCTGAATAGTTCACTGAGGATTGCAAATGAAATATGGTTTATAGCATATGAGAAGAGTCAAGGAAAGACAAAACTAGAATGCTAGAGACCAGAGAAAGAAAAAAGGAGGTATGACTGGCTTTAAAATTGTGATGACTTAACTGAGTTATGAATTTCTAGTTTTAGAATATACATGGCATTAAAGATCATTTTCTAAGAGAAAGAACAAAAGCCAGTATAGTCCAAATATCTTTCTAAAATCAGTTCCTGAGATTCACTTTGGCACCACGCAGACCTACAGAAGGGTGTATTTGCTTTTCGTGAGAGGTGGTGAAAGCTTCTACTTTCACATATAATTGAGTTTCTAGTAGATCATTTGTAAAGGCTATGGGCTATGGTATTCCAGTAGATACAGCTGAATTTGAAGTGTCTATACTTTGCTTTGTTTTATGCCTAACCTGTGATATACTCTCCCCAAATTAATGAAGAATAATTAAGTATAAGATTTGGTTCTGGGGAATCACTAGGAAAACCTCCAGAGAGGGGCTCAAACATGAGTATTTTCTTGAATCCTGTTTCTCCAATCGGTTTTGATTTCTTATATTGGCTTTGAGCCCCAAAGACAGTATCAGTACAGCGTTCAGGAGTTCCAAACGATCTCATAAAATAATATTTTCCTTTCTTTGCTAAGCCTTATCTACAGCACTTCTGGACCACAAATTAGAAACAGAAATAGTAGAGAAGTGTCTGAAACAAAATAGAACCTTTTGCTCTACCTACCAATGATGTCATCTATGCTGAGACTAAAAACCAAGGACCAACTGAAAGCATGTGCATGCATCACATTCTTCTTAACTAAATGTGTTGCTCAGCTGTGACTCCTGGGCACTGGCAAGTTTTTGAAGCTCTCAGAGGGGGCAGTAGGGAAAAACATCACATATATTTGAGGATACAAAGAAAGGAGATGAAGACCTCTTTGTAGTATCATTTCTTACCTGGCCACAAAGGATTTTTTGAGTGAGCTCTATAGGCAAGCGAAACCTGCATAAAATCATCCTTTGCTGGGTTTCTTTAGTCCCTGTGTGAACCCTTTTCCATGAATCCGAGGCTAGGGAAACACTGGAAAATGAGAATGCCTTTCCCTTTTGTTCTTCCCTGGTTCACAGTGGGTAGATAACTTGAACTAGGGTGAGTGATCTGAAAGAATACATAGAAGTTTAGAGCACACATAACGTTCAGCTTCACTTCTTCAGGTTTCAGCTAAACTCTTCTGTGCTTCTGACAGCTGAAAGACTACCTGCCGTCTCATGGGGAAAACGAAGCATTGACTCCAGGATGCTAAATATCAACCACCCCAAAGGAAGTGACAAAATTAAGTAAATTTTAAATTTCTTTGTTTAACTTACAAAACTAGCTAGCTGTGGCTGCTATACCAGAGAACTGGAACACAAATGAAGATTTGTTATACAAAGATGTTTCTGTTTTGTTTTCTATTTATTTGTCATAATGGTGTTCTGAGAGGCTCCTGCTCTGAAGGTATAATTTGCTTCCCTAAGATTCAACAATACGGGCTGGGAAGATGACTCAGCAATTGAGAGTTCTTGCTCCTGGGGCTGGTTAAGAGCTCTGGCTATCCTTCCAGAGGACCAGCTCATAACTGTCTCTAACTCCAGCTCCAGGAGATGTGACACCTTCACAACAAGGTACATAAAATAAAATAAAATTAATTATTTAAAAAACAGCGCTTGCTGCTCTTCTAAAGAGCTCAACTTCAATTCCCTTCTCCAACATTGGGTGAACCACAATTGCCTATTACTACTGTTGTTACTTTGTAAAAGTTAAAAAATTAGAAAAAGAAAAGAAAAGGCAAGAGATGGAAACCTGGACCAGTAGATGAATGGGTTGTCGGCTCGAGAGAAGTATCCCCATGTCTATGGCATCCCAGGTTTCAGCACCAAAACGGTGTTCTTTTGTAAAAGTTCAAAAATTAGAAAAAAGGAAAAAAAAAGTGCGATGGAACCAGGACCCAGTGCGACACAGAACGAGCCATGGAGACTATGAGTCATAGTTTATTACAGCGGCTAGAGCGAGAGGAGGGGGACAGACATGAGAAATGAGAAGGGGTGTAGAGAGAAGAAACAGGAGACACAGTGGAGAGAGGAGAAGACTCAGAGAGTAAGTGGGCAGGGGTCTGTCCTTTTAAGGAGTCCTTCACACTTCCAAGCAGACTGGTTCTCATGGAACTCTGGGCTGGCCAGAGTACTACCTGAGTGCATTCTGCCAGATAACAGGGCAGGCCGCTATTATGCCTGAACCCTTCAACTACTGCTCCAGGGTAACAGATACCTTATTCTGACCTCAGTGGACAACTCCAAACATGTGACATACCTTCAGTCAAACACACACATAAATAAAAACATCTAGCAATTTTTATTCAAATAATAGAAAACTTGGATATGCCCAAGTTGTAATGGAGTCTTCCCAGAAAAATCTGACATGCTAGGGTCTGACTCACAAAGACACCTCGCAAGTAGTTGTTATAGACTTCGGAGGTTTCAAGACACAAAATGCTTTCTTACTTCTCACACACTGTATACCATGGTCATGAGCGCTGAATGCGCAGAAACAGCAAGAAATAAGGGCAACATTTGAGGCAAATGATTCTGTCCTATCTTTTCTAGGTATCCAAACATGTCATTTTGAGAAAAATTAAAGAGACACTTCTGAGGTTACAATGTGAAGTTGTAGTTTTCCTAATTTTGCTTCCCTGAACTGTACTTGTTAAAGCTTGCCTCTATTTTCACAAATTAAATGAAGAATACACTGCGGCTCTTATTTATGATTTATGATGTCCTTTCAGAAAACAGACTATATAAAAAGGAAAGCTTTCCTTAAGGTCAGTGTCTGAGAAATCTGGTTATACTCTTAGGATGGGTGAAATTCCTGTAATGGAAGCATCTGGTATCTAATAAAGTGTGCAGGTGATAATTAAATGGTATCTAATATCCTGTTTTGGAAAAGTTCATATTTGTTTACATAAAGTAGACCCACCACTATTGACTTGAAAACTTTTTGAGTATTTTATAGGAATTTTTAATTGAAAGAACAAAACATAGCATGTTCCCTATAGGATGGAATGAGTTCCTAGAAATTTTGGGCACACAGAGGTCATAGTCTTGCTTACCTTGAAAAAAACATTAGACTTGTTCTGCAAGATTGAATGTCATTGTGGCATAGACACCAGGAAGGTTCCTGTGAGTCTGCAAATGGAGGAGAAAGAGAGAGAGGGAGAGGGAGAGGTAGAGGGAGGGAGGGAGGGAGAGGGAGGGAGAGAGGGACAGGAGAGGGACAGGGAGAGGGAGGGAGACATCTCTCAACTCCAAATCCACTAGTACTCTGACCTGTAATACTAGGATAGATAGAATATGATCCTCTGCTGCTGCTTTGCAGACAGCCTACCCTGCTGATAAAGAACACTAAGAATGACTCATTCCTTGTCAGTTGCTTTTCTCTGAAGGTTCTTGTAAACATCTCTCAGCATCTTCACCAGGTCACAGCAGTTTTTTCCATGGTAGTAGATGGCTGACAATACAGTATAAAGGAACAGGCTAACCCTTACCGTGGCAGACAATCACACTAACTATCCAGTTTTTTTCATCAGTTCAAGTCAATGACACCATGGACAGATGAGAAGCTCACCTTTCTAAGAGACCTGAGTTTAATTCTAGCCACTCCTCCAAGACTCTACGTTTTAACACTTCCAACTCTTCCCATACTCCACCAGTGTTTGGGAGATAATTCTTGGTTTCTTCCTTTTGTGTTCCACATAGCCCTCTTATTTTCCTAACTGTATAACAGCTGTGAAGTACTTCGTTTTAAATTCTTTGTTGAAACAACCATGGTATTCATTCTCAAATGGGTCTATTACATGCTCAGCTTTTCATGTTTCCTCCACAAAGATAGTCTGAGAAGGGGACAGGATAGCTAAAGCAAAACACTATCCCTAGGAAATAAAGAATACTTACTACCTTCTAAGCACCTATCACATGAGGTGTAAGCAGTCACATGTGTATGGAAACCTGATGAGACCAATTAGTTTTGGAACGTAAAAAAATTAATAGTTAAAACACTTGGAGAAAAGAATAAAATCATTTGTACAGAAACATGTAAGATGTTAACTTTTACGCTCTATTAAAATCCAAATTCAATTCATAAATCTCTTAGCTTAATCTTGGACAGAACAGAAAAAAAAACAGCCTTTCTCCATAGCTATTTCTTGAAAGATCCTTGTGTTTTTTTTTCATTTAACAAAGTGTGATATTCGGAATTAATGGTCTGGAAACTAATGTACCATCCCGTATTCTTTTTCTCTCTTGTATCTCACAACCAGCTGACAGCCACACAAACAATTTGTATGTGTTTATTGTTCTGTGAATTCATCATTAGAAGCTGGGTGTTTTATAATCAGAATCTATCTGTGGAGCTTTTCATGGTCAGTCTTACACAGATCTGGGTAGTTGGGAGACAGAGGGTGTATAGGTAGTAAGAGAAAGCATTCTCTTGTGAGGCAGTTTAAGAGTGAAGCTCAGATTTGTGACTTTTACTGCAAGGCAGGGTAGGTGTTTCTGCAACCACTGTTCTTATATTCTATTGCCTATGGAAGACCAAAGAGGAGATGGTACAAACTGAAAAAGGCACATGAATCCCTGCCTCCAAGGATGGTCCTTGAAATTAGATAATGGAGTATTAAGACTCCTGCTAAATTTACAACATGTTCAAGTGGAACTAAATGAAAATATATCATTTCCCCTCACGTAGGAACTATAAAGAAAAACGTGAACACAATTTAAGAAAGGTGAAATCTTGAAAGGTGGGTGTGTGACATGAATGGCTATATTATGGTTCATTGTTCTTCCCTGAATTTTGAAATCTTGGCCAGAAGAAAAATGCTACTAATCTGAGAAAGAGGGTAGGGAGTTATGATCATATTTGTATCAAGAGGGAAAGCCAACTGAGCCAAAGGCCAGTAGTCCTCCTTCTATCATGCCCTTTTACATCTGGGCAGCTACCAGAAGGTTCCATCTACCTTTGGGGTGTCTGCTACCAAAAGGTAAGGCAATCAGCATAATTCTTCAATTGAGGATTCCACTCAGCTGATTTTATTCTGTGGAAGGTGATTTTAAAACCAACCATCACAAGTATCAAATGCAAGAATAAATGTGGGTCAAACACAGAACAAAAAGGTGGGTTAGCTAAAGCTTAAGAAATAGGAGAAAATGCATGCTTGTATGTCCAGCTACATAGGGGCCTGAGGTGAGAGAATCACAGGTTGACTAGACTGGAAAACTTAGCAAAATCACAAACAGCAACTAGAGGACTAGGGATTCAGCTGGTGGTAGAGATCTTCTTTGGCACATATTCAATCTCCAGTGTGAGAGAAGGGAAACAAAGAGGAAAATCACAAGTGGTATTAAGCACACACTTCATTTTTTCTCATCTCAAACTATTTGCTCCTACAGTCCTACTTATAGGATCTTACTAGATTAATCTGAGGGACTGGTATTCAAAAATAACAATTAAATTGTATCCTATTTTTGGTCCCAGTCATTAATAAAAAACTATCCCTGTATAACTTATTTTAAAAGTCTGGCTTTTGACATAGTGTAATTTAGATTTAAAAGGCCATAATTATGGATAAAATATTCATTCTAAACCTAATATGTTAAGCACAGTTCTGGAATATGAAGATGTCCACTTAGGGAAGAACCATGGAACAAATCTCTCATATCTTGCATATCACTACATGCAGTGGTTTGATAGAAAACGGCCCTCAAAGGGAGTGGCACAATTAGGAAGTGTGTTTTGTTGGAGGAGGTGTGTCACTGTGGAGGTGAGCGTTGAGGTCTCATATTTGCTCCAGCTACACCTGGAGAGACAGACAACTTCCTGTGAGTAAAGATATAAGACTCTTAGTTACTTCTCCAGCACCATGTCTGCCTACACACCACCATGAAGATAAAGGATTAAACATCTGAAAATAAGCCACCCTGTTATATGTTTTCCTTTACAAGACTTGCCATGGTCATGGTATCTCTTCACAACAACAGAAACTTTAACTATATAGCCAGATGTAGGCCATTTTTCAGAAAATTCAATGAAACTGGGACAATGTATCATGTAAAGCACTTTTATCCCTTGACATCATCATGATATAATGCCTTGGGGACAAATGATCATTATAATGGAAAATTCCAGACATGGTAATTTGTATCTATGATCATGGTTCTTGGAAGACACAGGCAGGAGGATGGTAGATGGACTCAAGACCAACTTTAGTCATAGAGCAGCCTTAACTATATTGTGGGGTCCTGTAATAAACGACAGAACACAGAGTACCCAGACAAGCAGAGTGCCACAGTATATGGGAGATGCCACAGACAT